GCATATATGGAAAATTCCCATGATGCTTTGAAACTGTCAGGTCTCACCTGTTTGCAGACCTGAGCAGCCAGGTTAGTGAACTCAGAACTGCCGGGCTCCTCATACTGTGGCAGGAATTGCTTGTCGTTGATTTCCATGGAGCCGATATAAATTCTCTTCATTTTCACATGCTGGGGCTCTGAAGACACACAGAGATGTTGCCAATATCTTTATACACAACATTCTGATCACAACTGTATATAATTGTTATGACAATTTTATGGGTGAGTTTCCCTTGTGGACTGGACCTCTCTCTCTTACAGGACAAATAACACTGCTACAGTTGTGAGAGGAAAGCTGGGGTAGTTTCTTCACTCATTAGTGAGACGTCCTGGCTTTGCCGAGGGTATTTTTATAGTGACAAACTCTTCTTTCCAATAAATGAAGATCTTCTAAATTAGCGAGACACCGTTTCCTCTCCATTATCTGCATCAAGCTGTGTAATTGAGATTTATATCAGGGAGTCAATTATTCTGAATTTGAAGCTTTTGTTTTCATAGGAGCCACAGTATCCAGAGTGATACGCAGCGAGGACGTAACACTATTAATGAGATAATCCAGTCCAGGTAGCTGCTCTGTTTCAATTAGACCTTACACCTGCCTGATATCCTGTCTGACATCAAGGCGCTCAGATATGTATTTTCAAATCCAACCCCCAGCATCAGGTTAGCTGAATGTAGTTTGATGAAGTCAGCTTACGGCAAAACAGCCCGACCAGCAATGCAATCACAGCCAGAACACCAATCACCAAGGCGACTCCTATTCCTGCCCCCTTCTTGTTGCATGACTTCTTCTCCACGTCCTTGGGATCTGGAGCCTGCAGAAATGCTTCCTCAACCTCATTGTCCTGCATACAGAGATAGTTGGAGAAGACAATGTTGATCAATTTGTTCAGGACTGTACAAAATCTCAAAGTGGCCTCAACATTTTTGTTTTGTTCAAGGCCAAAGTTTGTTTTTTATCTTTGTTTTTTTGTGTGTGTTTTTTTACACAGTCTGGCGTGCAACGTTATCAGGTAGGAATAGCAGGTTAGTAGACAGCAGACTGTGGGCTATTTACTCGACTGCAGTATTGGATGGTGTTTTCCAGTGACAGCAGCACAGCACTCGGTCTAAATTCAACAGTCCCCCAGCTTTTTGAAGATGCTGCTGTTCAGCATGTTTGTATTCACTACAGACTCTATATAAAAATGTAGAAGACGCACTGTGAGATTTGAAGCCTGAACCAGCAGTTTGCATTTTTTAAGGATTAAAATGTCCATATTGGACCACAGAGTGGACTCCTAACTTAATGGGAAACATAGTGACCTGAGTAAGTTATTATATCCATGTACATCACAGCCTGACTGAGAATCCAGCCATCTTCTTTCGCTCATCCTTACTCAGGGCAGCTGGAGCCCATCCCAGCTCTTACACCCCTGACTGGTCCATTAACAATAGTCAGTAAAAGGCACCAAGCAAAATGGAGTGCTCCGTCTGACCCCTAATTTCAAGTATTAAAGTTAACAAAAAGAGGAGTTATAAAAACAGCTATTATGACAACTAGAAAACTAGCCCCACAGGGTAAACCAGATTTTGTATAACAGATGTAAACGTGTTTATTTCTGTTGTATAGTTGTGTTGCTCTTTAATACGGGAGTCTGTGGCGACTGACTTAG